TATACACTGCTCAAAAAAAATAAAAGGGAACACTTAAACAACGCACGCTAACTCCCGATCTTAATCAATGAAATATTCTCATTGAGTACTTTGTTCTGTACAGAGTTGAATGTGCTTCACAAAAGTTTGATTTACTTGGACTTAGCGTGCGTTGTTTAAGTGTTCCCTTTATTTTTTTTGAGCAGTGTATATAATAAAATAAAAACAAATCTACTAAACCAAAAATTTTGTACCACTATTACCTGATTAGTGGAACCATGAACACCACTGATTTTTGCACACAAATGTTGCCATGTTTTAACTCTCTCAGTTGCATTTATATGAACCAATCATACAACTATCTGTAGATTAATTAAGAAGAAGACAAAGAAGAAAACAAGAGAAAATGTTCATGATTTGATTGATTTTATTTGTAAGGCACAAGAAGTCCTTCCTTACTGCAGAACATTTCATATCATTTATAGTAAATTTTTGTTGCACTGTTTTTTTGTTTGTTTGTTTAAATGAAGCTATGACTTCAGACACAAAACATGTTTTTTCTGCCCAAGTACACACTTTTTGTTTTACATTATACACAAAAATCCGTATTTAAAAAAAGACTTTTACAAAGCTCAAAACGCTTACAATGCTTCACGCTATGAGGGCAGAGAGTTGGAGAGTAAGGATGGGGGGAGGGGGTGACTGGGGATTAAAAGGATAAATTAAAAAAACAAAACAAACGTACTGCAGTTTCTCCCTGGTGTCACGGCAGAATTGTAACACAAACAGCACAAGACGAGAGAAGATGCAGCCAATATACACATAAAGCTTATTATGTATAAGTGTACAGAGAGGCAAGCACCTCCGACTACTTACATGGTTTCATTTGTATGTTTATAACGTCAGCTTCGCTGTTTATACTCAGCATTGTTACAAAAATGGTTTGGGGAGGAAGAAAATAAATCAAGTGCATTATCACAAAACGTTTGGCTAAAACAAAAATTAATAAAATAGTTCCCACTAGAAAGAAATCAATCAGTTCCCTGCAGACATGCACTGATGTGTGTTTTTGTCTACACATTCTGCATTTCACTATGACAAGTGCAGCATGTAGCTAGATACAAACAGCATGTGGTTAGACGGGAGGACGACGTGCCGCAAGCTTAATTCACAAGCAAGAGTAGCGTTAGTTTACGCAAGAACGGCGTTTTTAAATTACCAACTGCCGGACCTGTACAGCTGTTTATACACAGATACGCAGAACAAGTTTGATTATGGTGTGCCCTCATCTGTATTTATATTTAGTTTCTACTGGTGACGTATCAAACAGACACAAACTGTGCTCTGCCATCGTAACAAAAAGCGTGTTGAGTTTTATTACTTTTCAAACTGAAAACTGTCTCTAAAAGGAGGTGATGGTCAAAGTGTGTGATCACAGCTCAACTATAAAAATGTTTCCTTTGTCTTTGGGGGGGATCCAACATGGACACAAGAACCACCGGGACCTCGTTTTCTGAAAATTCATGCTTAAACGTTTAAAAGRTTACTGTACAACTGCATCTCAACTCTCAGGAAATAAAAGCTGACATTTCAATAATAAAGGTTGGTTTTGGATCAGCTGACCCGGTTAAGTCCATGCCTGTTACCACGCCTCGCGACGCTAACTGACCGGTGCTGCTTTCAGCTCATATGACAGCTTAAAAAATGCAAACATAGTTTAATGCATTGAACACATGCATCAATTTACAACCATTTTTTTATTTTTAATAGTTTTGAGTTGAAGAGTTTCCCATTTTGGTTAAAAAGAAATAAAATACCTCTAAACATGGCAAGATTAAAGTGCCTGTGACATAAAAGTTTGTAATAAATGCAAATGTATTTTTGAAAACATAACATTGAGAACGTATTGAAAAAAARATCACACCGCTGAGATGAAAAGATGCTGAAATGTTTGCATGCTAAGTAACAGGAAGTGATGTCAAAGGGGAATGTCAGAATGTGAACAGAGTATTGCTACAATGGCTAACAACACAAGCTGCAAAAAAATAATCTGATGTTTCTTTAGATTATTTACAGTCAATACCAACGAGATGAAGAAGAGTCAGAGTTGAAACAATGTTTCAATAAACAACCATGAAGTTATCTTTTTTAAAGAGCTCCCTCCCCTTTGATGTCACTTCCTGTTTCCCTTTGGCAGAGCCAAAATCAAAATCAAAAGAAAACATGCTACTTAGGTGACAAAACAGGTCAAATCATTTGCATTATGTCAAACTTTGTAAATATAAAGATGTTACTTTTTGTATTTGAAGGATATGCATGTCACAGGCACTTTCATTTTCTACTTTTATCCAAAATGCTATGGTGCAAACAACAAAAAAAGCACAACAAAAGGTAAAATACACATAAATGGGGGTTTAGATCCTGTGAAAATGTTCAAATTGCAGTATTATTTTGTATGTTTCAGCTGCGAACTGTGATCAGTGAGCTGTTTCCTATTACCTGAAAATTTTAACAATATTTGTAATGCTCCTGATCGGCTGCTAAAAAATTGTACCTAACCTGCCACTGGCACATCAGCCACAGGTGTTTGTGTAACCCTTTATTGATTAAGACACACTTACAMTAAGTGTCAGGCAGAGAAAAGTGCCTGAATTGTTTTCATACAGTTTTTTATGCACATTTTCACCTGACTTCCACTGAACCAGAGGTCTGATCTGGCAACATTTGGTGTGTCAGTAAAATAAGTTCAGCTGTATAATCCACTTGTGCTTCGTCTATGCTGTAATTTCCATGAAACGAACTGATGAGTATTGAAGTTTTCCAACTCTGCCTTGCACGTAGGGAGTAAACCATGTGTGGACTCATTACACGGAGCATTTAAATGTGAATTTTTACAGCCTTTCTAAAGCGACCTATTTCAAGACTAACACAATCTGAAGCTTTTCCACCGCAGGGGCTTGGACTGAGCACATGCAGAGATAAATACCTGCAGTCCACAACCTGTGTATTAAGTTTGCTCCTGCTGAGTGGATAAATATGCCATTCACATGTAATGCTGCCTGTAGAGCTGCCGCTGCTTTGTCTTTGTGTTTTACTGGAACCTGAACTGTTCGAGGATTCATCAAAGACACTCGCTGCCCTCTGCTGTCAAACACACAACTTTCCTCCTCTGCAGTGTCTGTTTTAATATTAGTGCACGTCAGAGATGCAAAATGTTGTGGTTGTTTTTGTTGCAGGTTTGTGCTACCACAGGTCTGATTACTGATCTCTGTTAGGGTGTTAGGTGGATTCTTCTGTCCCTCAACAAGTCTGGAAAGCTTCATATCAGCAGAAATGTTGGCTTTGATATCTGATGAAGGTATTTTTTGTCTTTCTCCTTATAAAATTTGGATTAAATATCAGTTCAGTCAATTAGTCAGTTTTTCTTGCACTGGACACAGATTTAACAAAGAAAAATAGGATTTAATCACTTGTTTTGATCTGTAACAGCCCACAATGTAAATACCCAAGCCACAGATCAGCTCAGAAAAATGCATGCAATCAGAAAAGTTAAGGACAACAAAATCAATTGTTTAGAGTCAGATCAGCCTCACGAAACAAGGACCTGTGCAGAAATGCAGCAAGACCTTGTGGGAAAGTAGGAGGAAGAGAATGAATCTTAGAGAAAAGAAATGCAAAATTTAAAGAGATAATCAAAAGGAATGAGCTGCAACAAAGTTTAACTGAAAAAAAGTGTCAAACTTAAACAGACTAAAACTTTTAAATAAAAACACATCAGATATAAGAGACAAAGTCCTAGTAAAACAAAAAAAAAAGAGAAATGAAATCTTGAATCTAATTGTAGATATGAAAGGATCAGAGCGGTGAAGTTCTTCAACCACTGGACTGGTTAGAGGTCTGAGGCTTTGCTGAGGAGACAGAAGACTGTGTGGAAGGAGGTGAAAGAGAAGGAGACCGGAGATGAAGCTGTGGGACAAAGGAGGAGGTCAGATCTGGGGGGTTCAGGTCTATGTGATCAAAGAGCTGAGTGGAAGGGGTGGGGGGGGCACACACACCATCTAATCAGACTTGTCTCCATCCTCCTCGCGGTGGCTGTCAACACCGTCACGAGAAGCCTTCTCCTCCTTGGCCAGCTGGGCTTGGGAGGCCAGCAGGGAGGAGAGCGAGAAGAGACCAGAGGAGGTGGTGACGGCAGGGAGGGCTGGCTGGCTCAGGCCCAGAGGCAGGGGGGTCATGGGCAGGGCCAGACCCTGAAGCTGAGACAGCTGGTGAGCCTGAAGCTGCTGCTGTACAGAAAACACCAGTTCAATCTATTAAACCTCAAATTTAGACTAATAATTCTGACTATTTCTGTTTTACATCCAATTTACTACTTCTGCATCTTAAAGGAATTCATTATATCATTTGAGGTCGGGTCTAAAGACAGGTTATAAACAATTAATTACCTGTTGACTGTAAAAAAAAGGCCATTGTAGTTCATAGAAACACTATTTTATAAATGTTTACACTACCATCAATTTTACATGGCATGGTTATTTACAAACAATTCTATGATTATGTACGTAGTACTTCCAGTGCAATATGGGATATGTTTAAAGACAAATTTATGTTTTCTTATGGAACAGACAAAGATATCCATCCTACTCACTCACCTACCTTACCCATCCCTGCACCTATTTACTAGGGGTGCAACAATACATGTACCCGTTCAATACAGTACTTTAAGTTCAATACACACTTGTATCAAACAATACAGATTTTTTAAATTTATTTTATCAACTTGTCTTCTGAAGATGCTCTGTGTTGAAGGATCAGTGGGTCTGTGTTCGACTACACCTAGGCTGCATTGAGAAACTTGCTGTTTCAGCAACATTTAATTTAAAAACTGGACTTTTGAGGTTGAACAAATGTTCATAATTAATTTAAATATATTACAAGTTAAAAAAGGCATGCAAGCTTCTCTTTTTTGTATCAAAAAAATAGAACCATGAGATTTAAGTATTGAACCAAACCGAATTGTGAGTTTTCTGTACGGTAGCACACCTACTATTTACCTTCTCATCCACCTACCTACCTGTCCATTCATCTACCTAACCACCCAACATCAATATCATTTTTCTGTTTGTTTGGCTGTTTTAGCTTTTGTTTTCAGGCTAATCTTTGCTTAAAACAATGAGCCAATATGAAATGATTTTGCTGATTAATACAGGCCCATTTCTAGCCAACATCAGAGCCCTGGGTGAGGCTGAGCAGCTGGAACATCTTACCCTAATGATGGAGTTCATCTCTGGAGGGGTGACCTGCTTGGCCCGCTCTATGGCTGCTAGGACCTGCTGCTGGTGCTGCAGACAGAGTGTGTGGTGCAGGGGGAGGACATTTTGAGAGACAATAACCAGCGAGACAGAAAAGAAGGGAAGGAAAGTTTGGCGGGTGGGGGTGGGAGTGGAAAAAAGRTGGAGAGGTTAGATCAATATCAATAGTCCCAACAGACGTCCCGACAACCTCCGCTGCTGATGCACCTCCCCCTCTGGCCATTTAGCTATTCTTCCCGTCTTATATACACACACCCAAAACACACACATATACAAAAAGGCCTCGTGTGACACTGGCGAATGAATGGTCCACTGGTGCGCTATAATGGGTGGAGGTCAACCCCCTGGTGGGCAGATAAGAGCCTGGCTTATCTGAATCACACAGCCATTTATTACACCGACACAGAAACACACACACACAAAGAAAGGAAGAGTGGGAAAGAGGAGGTGGTAGACGAAGGAGGAACTGAAGGAAGCCGAGGAGTGGAAGAGGTCAAAGAGAAAAGAAGGTGGGGGAGGGGGAGACCACGATGAAGGTTACAGATTAAATATGGCAGAGGAGAGCGGAGGTGGAAGGAAACAGGAAGCGGGAGATGAAGAATGACAGGAGGACAGGAGAGGGATGCTGAGCGAGGGGTCACGGAGGTGGAGAGGTAATGAGGCGGGAATGAGGGTGATCTCATTCCAGGAAGTGAGGAATAGTGTTGTGGGTCAGAGGGTTAGTGGCGACTTCATATTAATGTCTGTTTCAAAGCGAGTGTGTTGGAGCTTACCTCCTGAGACAGGTAAGGGAGGACTTGTGCACAGATCCCGTTCAATCTCTTCACGATTTCAGCCTGTGAACAAGCAGTTCTTCAGTTAAAAGATGAAATTTAGTTTTATTCTTTATAAAAAAGTTATTCAATTAATTAAAATTTTCTGTTCATATGTAAATAGTTTGTGGGTCAGAGGGTTAGTGGCGACTTCATATTAATGTCTGTTTCAAAGCGAGTGTGTTGGAGCTTACCTCCTGAGACAGGTAAGGGAGGACTTNCAGCCTGTGAACAAGCAGTTCTTCAGTTAAAAGATGAAATTTAGTTTTATTCTTTATAAAAAAGTTATTCAATTAATTAAAATTTTCTGTTCATAGGTAAATAGTTTGTAATTATTTAATGTTTTCATATTTATCTTCATTGTTTAGGACAGAATAATAGTTTAGATACAACAATCTAATAAAAATACATGTTCTTCATATTACTCACAAATTTGCCACACCTTAGTATGCAACACTGCTCTGAAAATATTTTCATTTCCTTCATAATCAATTGGAAACTTTTTCTTTCCATTGCTTTTCTTACATCATTCAGTTCAATAAAAATATTAAACTATTCACCGAAGAATGATTTGTCCCTCAATAGGAAAATTACCATTAGCATTGTTGGAGTACAGGAATATAAAAAAAAGCTTTGAACAGAAAAATATATATTTTTATAAAAAATAGAATAAAAAACTTTCAGAAAATAGAAAATGCATGTGAAAACCGTGGTCAACCATTGGTTTTAATAATTTATTTTCTTGAAAACACCCCCAAACAGACCTTGCATTTAAAACCCTTGACCAAATGTAAATTATCTTTGGGAGAACGAAAATAAAAACTATTAGTATGTGATACATTGTATCATCTTCCCAAATCAGAAAACAACATTATCTAGGATTAACCTCACACCAAAATCCTTTTATTTACTTCCATAATGAAGTTGCTAGTACATCAGCCTCTCAGAACTCATGAATATATAGGCCATTGCACACAAATATACAAAAAGTAACCACTGGCACACAAAGGCTTTTCTCTTTCACATCATGCACGTTTCCCTGCCTTTTCTTACATTCAGATCTTTTATCATACTTGGTTGGTAATCATCCAATCCGTCTGAGATATGCAAAGCAGCAGTAATTGTGTTAGAGCCTAATTCATGGCGTGATAAGGAGCGAGGGGGCCCTCCTAACAATCATTAGGCATGCAGAGCACAGCTCCCCCATCAAGAGCTCAACTCCTCACCGCTCGTCATTAGACATACAATCTTCCTGACATCTCCAAAATGTCTCTTTAAAATGTCTCTGTGGGACTCGTGCCATGCCATCTATGGCTTTTTTCTCTTTTCACTGCCCTTTCGTCTCGTCTCTTTTTTTTCCCAGTTCAGTCTGTTGGCCTGTCTCCTTTTATCTAAACTCTATGATCTGTTCTTCTGGGCCTTTTCTTTGGATTCTTCTTTCTAAATACTGTTTTCTCTTAAATAATCTTCTTACATCGAACTAAAGCTACTGGAGAAGTTAATCATTTACAAAGGTGTAAAACCCAATGCATATGGGCCTAGTTGTGTGGGTAAATGTAAAACCAGGCAATGTAAATATTTTACTGAAAATACTGGAGGCTTACTGCATGTAATGAAGCATTTGTTGCTGTTTAGCAAACTGCTTTTTGGCAATAAAAACATCTCATCTTTATTCAAATCAAAATGTAAACCATTTGTAAACTATTAAAATGTGTTCAGTTTGATATAATGTTTAAAGGAAGTATGGAAGACAGCCCAAACAACCTTGATAATACAAACAACCTCAATGTGCAGGTTCTGTCTCTAGATGGCCTTTATGGAACTACTTTCCACCAGATGCAGATCTACTGTTAGAGAAAGAAAAAAAATCAGCATCTAAGCTTGAGATGAGGTGCCTTTCTGTGCATTTTGATACACCATTTGTTGTCTGTTCTACTACAACCAGCTCTCGAGGACGCCAACTTATTGTCTTTAGCTTGTTTGGCCTGCTCACCCCTCGCTCCGTTTCAAATAAATCTTTCTTCTTCACTGGACAAAATATAGATTTCATGCTTCTCACAGAAGCATGGCAACGAGAGCAGGAGCAGAAGTTTACTCATCTAAATAACCTCCGACCTGACAGCTGTTTTGTTATTGGTAAGCCATGCCACGCCCATCATTGTGGAGAACCTGCTGCCGTACACCGAGATGAATGTTCATCCAGAACTGTTATCACTGAAAGATTCTCCTCCTTTGAGTCATTGGTGCTAAAGTTTGGTTATTTTGTACTGAATTTTTCTCTTTGACCATAAAACTGAAGAAAATTTTAATTGTTGGAGATTTTAACATTCATGTTGACATTAACTGTAAATTAGTTAATAATTTTCTATCCATTACTGACTCTTTTAATTTTGAGCCTGTTATTGTTGAACCAGTTCTTAAAAAGTCCAAACTGGATCTAAAAAGATAACTTCAGTCTGATGTCTAAATAACCATTGATATTAACAATTATCGGACATTTTAGACACATTTTATTGGGTTTTCGCAATATCCACTCCGCAGAAACGGCTTTATTAAAGATTTCCAAAGACATGATGCCAGTTGATTCAGGGAACTGGTTCTGGTTTTACAGAAACCGTCTCCCACCTTTAATATTGTTGATCACAAGATCTTAATTAACAGATATCAGAATCAGACTGRATGTTCTGGTTCTGTCCTCAAGTAATTCTCATATGTGTCTGACTAAAGTTTTAAAGTGTCTATAAATGGGATTATATCAGATAAGGTCGTCTTGGGGGTGTACCTCAGGGATCTGTTTTGATAACTATTTAATTCATCCTATATATTTTCCCATTTATACAGGTGATTCAACAGTTTAGCAATATGTAATATCAACTTTATGCTCATAATATCTAGTTCTTCTGTTCATTCAAGGGAAGTGAGTTTCATAAAATAAAGTTCTTAACAAGTTAGGCACATAACAATTCATCGAATCACATTGAAATATAAAGTGATGAATGATAATTAGCTCTAGGCAAATAAAAAAAACCATATCGTCATCATGTGCTCGATGTGGATCGATATAGCATGCCAATCTAACAATCATTTACTAAATGATTGTGGGCATATTTTGCATAATATCAATCACAGACTTGTGAATTGACTTCCATCGTATCATGACAAACTTTGTGATATCAAGAAACATCGTATCGTCATCCAAACAAATTGATATATCTTATTGTATCAAAGCTGGTGATTTACACCCCAATAACAGACTGGCAGTGATTATGTAACTACTACTTGCAACTGAGCTTAGATATAACAAACTGATTATTGCCCCTGAAAAAAGTCTTCCTAAATTAAACAGTTCATTGAGGTCTTAAGTCCTGTTGTTTAGTTCAGCCTCAGAAACCTAAAAAAAAAAAAGTAATAATAATAAAATTTAAAAAAAACTACACGCTTCAATTTCAGAGTTTAGAAATTAAGAAATTTCATCTTAAAACGAAACTTGGGATGATCACGTATGCTTTTATTTCTTCTTGCGTGGACTATTATAATAGCTTTGGGTTTGCTATAGTATTTTGGCCTAAGCATTGGGTGTTATCATAGGCATAGACAAGATATTTCTGCAAGATTTCTGCAACCTTTCCTTTGATTTATGTTTATCTGTGGGTAGCTGCTTGTTGAGAATATACATCATTTCAACTCTAACACTTTCACGACACAAACATATAGCCCAAAGAATATCTAAGACATTGATGTATAACAATCTATACTGACAAAAGTGAACAAGAAAAAAGAAATATAGACAAAACTAGAAGTGAAAAAGAGTGAAAATACAAAACTGGAGGGATTGTTTTTTTTTTTTTTTGGTTGGAGAAAGAATAAAGTGATCAAGAGGGTGCTACTGTGAGCATCTCACAATGTGAGAGTGTGAGAAAGAAAAGAAAAAAGGAGGAAGTGGAGATGGAGGAGTAGGAGGAGGAGAGAGGGGACCGGCTCTGCACAATAGGCCTAGACTTGAATGCTCCTCAACACTCATTTCCACACATCCCCTTCAATTTCAGCGCTCTAATGGAACTAGCAGTACGCCGCACCCACTAACACTGCGCACAAAGACAACGTGCACGTGCACACACTCATGAAAACAAGAGGAGAACGCACGCACAACAACACACAACTGCTTGTGAACATGTTAGTAATACACAGATGAATTTAAGCACCCATGAAAGAACACACACACACACACACACACACACACACACACACACACACACACAC